TTTAAAAAAAGTATTAAAGAATCGAATAATACCATATTTATGCATGATTAATGCAAAATAAGTTAAAAATTAATACTTAAAAAAAAGGTAAATATGTGAAAGTTTATCATGAAATTTGTGTGCAATTTAACGAAATGTGTTGTTTACAGGAAATAATATTAAAAAAGAACATTAAAAAAGTAAATTTCTACAATTTAGAATTACTATTTTTGACAGAAATTAATCTTCTATTATACTAAGTTAACAAATTTCGAAAAACGACACCGACCCCATGACCTCGACACCGTCCTTGAAAAATCTATTTTCAATTATTTTTAAATAAATCAAAATACTTTGCTTATATGCTGTTAGAAAATCTTACAAACTATTTTTATGTAACATCTTTTTTCAATTTTAACCCGAAAAAGGGTTATTTTGCAATTTTTTAAGAATTTTTTGATTTTTTCAATTTTTTATTATTATTTTTTATTATTTATTGTTGTTTTTTCAATTTTTAGTTAGTAACCTATAATATTGTGTCTAATTTTAAGTGTCATTAAAATCAAATGTTTTTAACTTAATAATTTTAACATTTCTTAATTTAAAACGAAACATCTTCTATTATATTAAGTTAACAAATTTCGAAAAACGACACCGACCCCGTGACCTCGACACCGTCCTTGAAAAATCTATTTTCAATTATTTTTAAATAAATCAAAATACTTTGCTTATATGATGTTAGAAAATCTTACAAACTATTTTTATGTAACATCTTTTTTCAATTTTAACCCGAAAAAGGGTTATTTTGCAATTTTTTAAGAATTTTTTGATTTTTTCAATTTTTTATTATTATTTTTTATTATTTATTGTTGTTTTTTCAATTTTTAGTTAGTAACCTATAATATTGTGTCTAATTTTAAGTGTCATTAAAATCAAATGTTGTTAACTTAATAATTTTAACATTTCTTAATTTAAAACGAAACATCTTCTATTATATTAAGTTAACAAATTTCGAAAAACGACACCGACCCCATGACCTCGACACCGTCCTTGAAATATCTATTTTCAATTATTTTTAAATAAATCAAAATACTTTGCATATATGCTGTTAGAAAATCTTACAAACTGTTTTTTTATAAGTCCAAAAAATTTAGGGACTTAGAAAAATATTAATTTTTTTATTTTTAATACTTTATTTTCATTTAAAATAATGTAAAGTTATAATATGTTTTAACTTATTCATCGCATCCATTCTGCAATTTTCGTAAGTTGTTTTATTTCTTATTAATTTTTAAATTAATTTTTTATAATTTAGTTTTATATGAGTGATGTTATTAATAAATTATTATAATTTATTGTATTATTTTCTTTATGTTACGCAGATGTTACTACTCAGCGCAGCCAGTTTACAGTTTTTGTTATTACTTGATTATTTTTTTTTTTTTTGTTAATGAGGGAGCATATTTTATATATTTTTTTCTTTTAAATGGTTTTTTAATCCTTTCTATGCCATATGATCAGTATAATAATAATTATAATTTTTTTTATGGCGCTGCCGTTACTGTTCAGCGCAGCCATTTCCAATTCAATGAATTAATTTATTTATAAAGTAGAGTTAGTAGATTTCTTCGTAGTCGAATTTTTTTAAAACATGTGTTAAATATTATTGTAATAAAATAATAATAAAAAAATAATATAAATAATAATTTAATAAAATAAATAAAATACTTCTTGGTAAACAATGTTTCTTACATAAATTTCTTTTTCATTGCCTATCTTTTTTTTATTCCTTTTTCGCTATGTGTAATACTTGAATTTTTATATAATAATACTTTAAGATTATATTTTGAAGTTACTCTTGATAAAGCAACATATAATTGTCACGGACTAAAAACATGTGAAGGAAGGTATATGCCTACTTTTTGGAAAGATTGGCCTTGAGATTTGTTGATTGTTAAAGCAAATCCAAGCCTTATTGGAAATTGCTTTCTTGACATTTGAAATGGTATTTCTTCGTTAGACGGTGACAATGTAATTCGTGGCAAAATTACAATCTCATTTTTATAATTTCCCGTTATTACTTGTGCATGAATAGAAAAACTACCCATTTTAATAACTTTTAGTCTTGTTCCATTACAAAGACCTCTTTCTAAATTAATATTCCTTAAAAGTATCACAATTGCACCAATCTTTAATATTAATTTGTGAGGAGGAAGTCTAGTTGGAGTTAAACTATTTAATACTTCAATTGGTATTAAGTTAGTTATTGTGTCACACTTTTCATCTTCTTCAGATGAATCTGTACTTAAATATTCTCTAGGTTCACCTGTCATTCGTTTAACAACATCATTATTTAATTCAAATACATCATTATTCCGGAGAACTAGTAATATATGTAAAATCAAACAAGAATCTCTTTATAACGGTTTACTATAGATAATAAAAATAAAAACCGATATTTTAAAAAGTATTTCGATTTATTACGAATATTTTTCTCAAAAATTTGCAAAATCTACATGTGTTTGTGGGACAATTTACATCAATATAATATAATATAATTTAAGATAAAAAAAATATATTATAATATAATATAATTAATATTGTTGTCATAATTATAATAAAAAAAATCTAATATTTAACAATTTTCATTTCATCCTTCAATGAAACTGATCAAAATTAAGATAAATTTTATACAATATTAATAAGATATTAATTTAAAACATAAATTATATATATAATATACATAAACTACAATAAGTAAACAACAATAAGTACAATTTTAACCGAGCGTGCGTTAGCGAGCGAGGAATACATCGCTAGTTAAAATAAAAGTAATTAAAATAAATGTTCCAACAATAAGAATTTACCGGCGTAAGTTCATGTGGTGTAATGCTAGATGGCAGCACATAAACTAATCAAATCTTTTTAAATGTTTGTCACATTTCACTAAAAATTCATCACGCTTAGGTTATAGAGGGCTCTGATGTCAAATTTAATAATAATAATTTTTAAAAATTAATAATAGTAATAATCAATAAATTATTTTTTTAGATTTATCTCAAAATCACGAATCGGGGATTTTAGAGGGCGCTAATATCGAAGTTAATAATAATAATAATTTTGAAAAATTCAAAATGTCTAAAAATTGTTTATTTAAATTTCTTTATAATTCACCACTCGGGGCTTATAGACGGCGCTGAAGTCAAATTTAATAATAAAATTTGTTTAAAATTAAAAATGGTGGCAAAAAGAAAGTTTTTCAGAATATTCTAAAAATAATTATTTTAAGGTATATAGAGGGCGCTGAGGTAGAATTTTATAGTTTTCAAAAATTCAAAATGGCGATCAAAAAACAGATTTTTCTAAATATAGTCGTTTAGTGATATAGAAAGCGCTGAGGTAGAGTTTCATAATTTAAAAAGTGCAAAATGGCGGCAAAAAATGTTTTTTCAGTTTTTTTTAAACCTAAGAAGAAAATCATTTTAAGGTTATGTTTGTCGTAATTTTATCTTAATTAAAAGTTTATTTTTTATTATGTAAAGTAAAATCAGTTTTAATTGAATATTTTCAATGTTATGAAGATTTAATCACCAATAATTTATATTGAGAGTTGATTCCCTTTGTGTATTTTTACTTTAACCAATTAACGCTCAGACGGACGAAAAATTGATATTGACTTTGAGGATCTCGTTCTTTTAAAAAAGTCTTTCCAAAAAATCGGCATATACCATTTCTAATGTAAAATTTATTGCTCTTTCAGAAACTGGGGTCAGAATTTGTTTATAATAAATATTTAAATAGTTATAAACAATTTTTTCCAAAAAACACGATTTTTCAAGAAAAAAATTTCTTTTCAACCATACTTTCACCGGAAAAAAGAAAGGGGATGCTCTCAAAACCTCAAAATGTCGCGTCCATGGACCCTCAGCTACAAAACCCTGATGCGACCAATTTTTAATTTCAAGATGGCGGAACCCAATATGGCGTCCAAAGCTCAAAAAATAGTCCAAAAAAAAACAAAGTGCTCAAATTTCTAAAAGTCACTAAAATCGTCTGAAAATCGTAACTCGGGGGTTTTTGGGGTCGCTGATTACCAATCCGGTGTCAGTTTTTAAAAATTCAAAATGGCGGATCCAATATGGCGGATATGTTTTGTAAAAATTCATCGGATTCACGTAAAATTCGTTACTCGAGGGTTTTTGGGGTCGCTGAAAACGAATCTGAAGTCAGATTTCAAAAATTCAAAATGGCGGATCCAATATGGAGGACGACTTTTTTGAAAGTGCTTGAATTCGTTTGAAAAGTTCTACTCGGGGGTTTTCGAGGTCGCTGATTACCAATCCGATGTCACTTTTTAAAAATTCAAAATGGCGGATCCAATATGGCAGATAGGTTTTGTAAAAATTCATCCGATTTACTTGAAATTCGTTACTCGAGGGTTTTTGGGGTCGCTGAAAACGAATCTGATGTTACTTTTATAATGGCGATTCAATATAGAGAAGAACTTAATACCCAATAAATTGAGCATCAATTTAAAATTGAATTTTAAATCCTAATATTTTGCCTGTCTCGTGCAAAATATTCATTTCCGTTTAAATTCTACGAAAAGGCATATTGCTGGTTATTTGTCTGGCTTTAATTCCGCGAATTCACGGCCGCATGCCCATTTTTGGTCATTCTCCATGTAGCACTCCGAACGTCAGGGAAATTTTGTGGTAATTGATAGAAATGTGGTATTACTTTTGTAAATGCTCACTTTGCAGATGTGACATCTCAGCTATGAATATATATATATATATATATATATATATACAAGAGATTGTTGAATTTATAACTATTTTTAATTGTTGATTGCTGATCCATTGTGGAAAATAGATTTTTCCTGTTCTTGTGTAAGTCAATAATAATGCAGGTAAGTGTTATATATAAATAAAGTTTATAGATGTTTCTTATTGTAGTGTAAATCACCAACAAAACAGGTAAGTCTTATTTTTCAAAATAAATTTTTTTTGTTTAAAAACATGTCGAGTAAGCGGAAAACGAAACGTCAAAAAGTTTCTGATGAAACAGAAGATTTTGAATTTGAGGAACATTACGAACACGTTAATCTCGTTGTTATTCCAAACTCATATGATTCTGGAGAATCTGATTCTGAGTCGGATTCCGAAAATGATGCTACCGCTGAAGAGTTTTTTAATTCAATTTGTAATGAATGGGATGATATCCCGCAGAATTCATACCAAACAATCCGTGGTAATTATACACCAAATCAGCAAAAGTTAGAGCCAGATCATATTTTTGAATGGGTAGATGGTGAAATGAAATATAATCCTAAACATGAAAATGAAACACTTCTATCTGATAGCAATAAAAATAAAATTCAGTCTTTCTCTTCAACTGAAGTATTTGAATTATTCTTTTCGAATGAACTGAAAGAATATATATTAGAAGCTACAAAAATGAATGATTGTGACATTACAATGAATGAATTAGACTCTGTTATGGGAATAATTATTTTGTCAATTTTTAATCAAAGAAAATCTCAAAGGGATTATTGGTCTCAAAGTGAACTTTTGGGTTGTCCTGTTATAGCTGGAGCTATGAGTCGTGCCAGATTTGATTATATCAAGTCAAAGCTAAAGTTATCAAAGCCTGAAGATAAAAACTCTGATGACCGAGCTTGGAAAGTGAGAGGTCCTTTGGAAATCTTTAAGAAAAACGTACAACAATTTGGCTATTTTTCTACTGCTTTGTCAATTGACGAAATGATGGTGAAATTTCGTGGAAGAACTATCTTGAGACAGTTCATGAGAAATAAGCCTGTTCGCTTTGGAATCAAAATGTGGGCACTTTGTATTTCTGAAGGATACTTGTTTAATTGTGATGTTTACTGTGGCAAGAATTCCAAAAGCTATTTCTTCGGTAAGGAAGGAATATTAAACAAATGTGCCTTAGGAAGTTGCGTTGTTGTTGGACTTCTTCAAAACTTACTTTCTTCAGTTGTACCCAGGAATATACTGAAATATCACTTGTATTTTGACAACTTTTTTACCAGTCCTGATTTACTGGTTCATTTGAAGAAAGTTGGCGTACGAGCAACAGGGACAGTCCGAGTTAACAGAATGCAAGTGACAAACGCGGTCAGTGATAAAGATTCAAGAGGCACTTTTATTGCCAAGCATGATCAAATCAGTGGTATTAATTATGTCACAGTAAAAGATTCGAAACCAGTCTCTATTCTTTCAACTGTCGCAGGAGTTACACCAATGTCTTCAGTCAAAAGATATTCTTCGGAAAAAAAAGTAAGGTGGATATTGCATTTCCAAGAGCTATTACGGTTTATAATAAGTTTATGGGCGGCGTTGATTTGCACGACGGACATTGCAGCAATTTAATGCCATGCATAAGGTCAAAAAAGTGGACTTGGGTCATATTTATGAGACTTATTCAAGCGGCAATAACAAATGCTACAGTATTAACAAATTTGGTAACTAAAGGAAAAAAAATTGGTACCAAAGATATGGGTTTAGCGATTGCTGAAGCATATTTTAAAAGGTCAAAAGCAACAAGTGCCACAAGATTGAAAGAGTTAAAATAAAAAAGAACTGCTCCAATTTCGCGAAGTGTGGTGCTAGAACACAAAGGAAGTGCGCCACGTGTAATGTGTATGTTTGTGTCTCATGCTTTGTTGCTGTCCACTAATATAAAACATTTTAAAAAATACAATAAATTTAAAAAATACAAAAAAATTTAAAAAATACAAAAAATTAAAAAAAAATTTAAAATAAAAAAAATAAAAAAAAAAGATTCTTTAAATCGTCCACCTCCACGCGGTAAGAATTAAACAACGTCAAAACTAATCGACGGTTAACGGACAAAAAATTTTTATAGACCTTATATTACACCAATACAGTATTTTTCTTTAAAAGTAACATCAGATTCGTTTTCAGCGACCCCAAAAACTCCCGAGTAACGAATTTTACGTGAATCCGATGAATTTTTACAAAACCTATCCGCCATATAGGATCCGCCATTTTGAATTTTTAAAAACTGACACCGGATTGGTAATCAGCGACCCCAAAAACCCCCGAGTAGAACTTTTCAAACGAATTCAAGCACTTTTCAAAAAAGTCGTCCTCCATATTGGATACGCCATTTTTAATTTTTGAAATCTGACTTCAGATTCGTTTTCAGCGACCCCAAAAACCCCCGAGTAACGAATTTTACGTGAATCCGATCAATTTTTACAAAACTTGTCCGCCATATTGGATCAGCCATTTTGAATTTTTAAAAAGTGACATCGGATTGGTAATCAGCGACCTCGAAAACCCCCGAGTTACGATTTTCAGACGATTTTAGTGACTTTTAGAAATTTGAGCACTTTGTTTTTTTTTGGACTATTTTTTGAGCTTTGGACGCCATATTGGGTTCCGCCATCTTGAAATTAAAAATTGGTCGCATCAGGGTTTTGTAGCTGAGGGTCCATGGACGCGACATTTTGAGGTTTTGAGAGCATCCCCTTTCTTATTTCCGGTGAAAGTATGGTTGAAAAGAAATTTTTTTCTCGAAAAATCGTGTTTTTTTGGAAAAAATTGTTTATAACTATTTAAATATTTATTATAAACAAATTCTGACCCCAGTTTCTGAAAGAGCAATAAATTTTACATTAGAAATGGTATATGCCGATTTTTTGGAAAGACTTTTTTAAAAGAACGAGATCCTCAAAGTCAATATCAATTTTTCGTCCGTCTTAGCGTTAATGGGTTATAAATCACAAACATAAGCTACAATTTTTTGATTCTTAGGTACCATTTTGAATTTCCGAAAATTATTACTATTATTAAATTCGACAGCAATGCTCTTTAAAACCCCTGAGCGATAAATTTTAAAGAAATTAAACAAACAATTTAAGTGTAGCTATCTCGAATTTTTGAAAAATATTAAATTTTACCTCTAAATGATGGTTTTTAGAATCATTTAAAAATACTTTCTTTCTGCCACCATTTTTAATTTTAATCAAATTTTATTATTAAATTTGACATCAGCGCCATCTATAAGCCCCGAGTGTTAATTTTTAAAAAAATCTGAAAAAACATTTTTGCCGCCATTTTGAATTTTTTTAACTTATGAAACTCTACCTCAGCGCTCTCTATATCACTAAACGACAATATTCAGAGAAATCTGAAAAATCTATTTTTTGATCGCCATTTTGAATTTTTGAAAATTATGAAATTCTACCTTAGCGCCCTCTATATACCTTAAAATAATTATTTTTAGAATAATCTAAAAAACTTTCTTTTTGCCACCATTTTTAATTTTAAACAAATTTTATTATTAAATTTGACATCAGCGCCATCTATAATCGCCGAGTGGTGAATTATAAAGAAATTTAAATAAACAATTTTTAGACATTTTGAATTTTTCAAAATTATTATTATTATTAACTTCGATATTATTGCCCTCTAAAATCCCCGATTCGTAAATTTGAGATAAATCTAAAAAAATAATTTATTGGTTATTATTATTAATTTTTAAAAATTATTATTATTAAATTTGACATCAGAGCCCTCTATAACCTAAGCGTGATGAATTTTTAGTGAAATGTGACAAACGAGTTTTGCATTCGATTATAAGTTTTGAGATTCTCTTTCTTCTTGTTCCATTTAAAAAGATTTGATTAGTTTATGTGCTGCCATCTAGCATTTCACCACATGATCTTACGCCGGTAAATTCTTATTGTTGGAACATTTATTTTTATTACTTTTATTTTAATTAATTTCTGTCAAAAATAGTAATTCTAAATTGTAGAAATTTACTTTTTTAATGTTCTTTTTTAATATTATTTCCTGTAAACAACACATTTCGTTAAATTGCACACAAATTTCATGATAAACTTTCACATATTTACCTTTTTTTTAAGTATTAATTTTTAACTTATTTTGCATTAATCATGCATAAATATGGTATTATTCGATTCTTTAATACTTTTTTTAAAGTTTCTAATAATTTTTTACCCTTTTTTCATTATTTAAAGGTTAAAAATAACAAAAATACCAGAGCGTCCGCGATCAGACGCGAATTTGACGCAACGGCGTCCGATCCGCGTTCACCATTCCGCCAGGGCACCTGCCACCTCTACCCAAACAAACCCCTTATCTGTCTCCAGGAAGTCACCAATGGCGATGTCCGGGTTACACACTTGTATACCTGATCTTCTTGATGCATCCTCAAACCAGACAGAGAATCCCGACTCCCTATACTGCTCACTGAAAAGCAGCACATCAGCTCCTCTCTCTCTGGCAGTCTGCATCAAGAGATCTAACGCGACTCTTCCTTTCCTAAGGTTAACCTGGAGGAATCTTAGCTCGGGACTTTAGGTCCTGTAGCAACTTCCAGTAAACTGGGCAAGCCCTGCTCCCTGGAAGGCGTTTCAAGTCCTTCATTCCACTTTCTGAACACGTAATGTATTTGGCTTCGCCTTTGCATTCCTTCTTCCGGTGGTCCGGACTGCCACACCTCCAGCAAGCAGCTTTCCTGTCGGGGCCAGTGCATCCTCCGGCCAGGTGGCCGTAGCAGACGCATCTATAGCACCTCTCTACTTCCAACCTGGCACGAACTCTGCAGTTGACCCAGCCAATCTTCACTCTTCCGGCCTAAGAAAGGGATTCTGCTTCCGTTTCTGGGAGTCGCAGAATCGCCTTCTTGTTGTGACCATACCGAGTGTAGACTTGGCATTTCATTTCAAGGTTTGGCTTCCCCAGTGTTTCCAGGACTGCCTCTACTACTTCTGTATCGACAATGGTCTCATCGAGGTCCAGTATTTCTACCGACCTCACCGAGACCAACGTCTTTACTTCCGCCTTTTCTTCGTGAGCGGTGGCCAGGGCACCTCTGAAACCAGAGAGATCCTGCCCTTCCTTCAGAACCAGAAGGATTTCATCCCTTCTGGTTCTTCTAATTGACAGAATCTCAGTATTTGTCTCATCGGGCCTGACCCCCGCTTTCATATCCTTCAGGATATCCGGGTAGGACTGGCCGTCCTTCGCGGATACCCTGATGGCCTCCGTCCCTCTAGACCTCTTACCTGGGGGTCGTCCTGCTTTAAGGCTTGACGACTCCCTGGCTTCTTCTGTGGCCTTTTCTTTTTTATTTTTCTCCTTCTTTTTCTTATTGACTTCTTTCTAGGTCTCAGAGTCGACCTGGGAAGAAGTCTCTTTGTTTTCATTTATAGCTTCGACAACAGGCGGGTTTTCCTTTACGGTCAACTCGCCTGTTTTGCCACCGATGAGCCACTGCAGTCGTTGGATTTTGACGCTCCAGGGCCTGCTTTCGCACCCTGGGACAGCGCCGGCACTGGGGCTTCCGACTTCCCCTGCAGGGTAACTTTTTTTCAGTAATTTGTTTTTCCATTTTTTTAACGTTTTGTTTTTTTTTATCGGGGTTCCTTCCCCTAGCATGTAAGTGTGTGATATATGCGTGTGAAAGACCTCCGCATTGTACTGTCCCACGACAGGGTGCGCGGAGGTCTGTAGTGTGTGTAACTTACATGCGCGTGTAAATTTTAGTGTAGGTGGAGTAACTTTGTCAAAAAGGTTAACAGCGGTCCACACAGGGAACCAATCCCATCGGCCGCAGAACGCAAAACCAGGTGCTCAACCACCCCGAGGGTCCCGCAGTCCATTTCAGTGGAGTTGGATGACCAGCTTCCCCATCCCGCAAGACCGATTTAACGGACATTCCTTCGTGAGGTCGCTGGAGCCTTCTGGCGACAGGGTTTTAAGCCCGTCTGTTGGTCATCGCTCTCCGTTTGGGCACCGAGTGACTTTCAACGGTTCCACATGGGAGCAAAAGCGGTGCGACGAGGCGACTGCCTTACCCCCACTGCGCCATCTAACTAAAGCTTTTCCCTCCGTGACGACAGAAGGGGAAAGCATTAGTTAGATGGCGCAATGGGGGTAAGGCAGTCGCCTCGTCGCACCGATTTTGCTCCCATGTGGAACCACTGTTTAATATTTTCAAAGACTCTAGGTTTCTAACCCGCACAGTCAAGCGATCCATCCTTATCCACTATTCTGTGATGCAGGAGCAATGGCCGGCAGAACAGACAAGAATACGATCGGCCGCAGAGGGGAACAGTCCCCGAGCAGTCCGCTAACTCACCCCTTTTCCTTTCTTTTTTTTCTTTTGAAAGTTCTCCGTGTATGCGGCTTTTGGTTCGCGCCGGTTATTACATTTCGCCGGTACCACCTATATCTAGGAGGCGTGCTCTTATCCACCACCTAGGGCCGCGCCCGATGGGGGACCAGCAACCCCGCGCTAGGGACCAGGTCCTGTCGCGCTCCAGTTGGAAGCGAGTTCCAAAAGGACACGGGTACATAAAGACTGTTGTAGTAAT